TATCAATTGAGGACTTTCAACAGCAGTAACAACTAAAATGGATAGCACAATGTAACTCTAAAAAAATGTCATAAGCAAGATGGTGACTTTACACACAAAAGGTTAGAGAGGAAACAGTAGACTTTAGAAAACTATTTTACTGAAAAATTGTTTTAAGAGAAAGATTTTATAAATTTAAACTGAAATTAGCACTGGCTGTTCAGTCAATGAATTAAAAATGTTTTCACAAAAGGAAACAGCTAATATTACAGTTACCATTACACTAAAATGACAAATGATTTTAAACCCACAGAACTGTATTTGTTTTTGATATGTCCCAGAAAGGGATATATTTTTTTCGAAGTAGCAAGTGGTTGTTCACTACTGTAACCGAGTAGGACAATCTAGCAGGTAACTGTAATGAACTGGTCCTCGTTGTAGTGGTAGGCAATAGGCATAGTCAATAGGTGTCATTGTACCTCCACATCAGTCTGTATTTATGGCTGACACCAGCCAATCATATTACTGTGAGGGGGAACCCAGGTGTATGCATATTCATTACATCAGTTTTGTTTTTATTAAAGATAAATCAGATAGTTATGGTACAAATTTTAGCACATCAATATAAAAAATTTTAACTAAAAAAAAAAAAATTGAAAGTGTATTTTGAATAGGCATAACAATAAAAGTTATTATTTTTATTAAATTTTACATGTAGATTTTTAAAACATGAAACATTGTTTGAAGTGGAATGTTCCCTAAATTTTTAAATATAACTTCAAATTCATATTATGTATGCCTATTTTTCTAATGAGAGCAAAAGAACATATCTATACACTTTTATTGTAGACAATCACTAACAAAAATCCAGATTTTGAGCTACAGTGATCAATTATTGCACATTAATTCTTTTCAGTTTCAGGTTAAACACAAATTGTCTCAGATGAATCAATAAAATCTGTCAAATCTTTTACATACCTTGGAAGTAAAATAAATTGTACTGAAAACGATGTGAAAATTTGCATAGCTAAAACCTGAGCCACTTTGAATAAAATGGATGTAATCTGGAAATCTGATCTACCAGAAAACCTCAGATTCTTTTGTATCACTGTAGAGATGGTGTTAATGTATGGTGCCACTGCTTGAACATTAACTAAAACCCTAGAGACTAAGCTTGATGGAACCTACTCTCAGATGCTGAGAGCTATACTTAACATCTCTTAGAGACAACATCCAACTAAATCACAGCTTTATGGACGCATCCTAATATTTTTACAATCTTATATGAATACAGAATGTGCTTTGCAGGACACTGCTGGTTAGCAAAACAAGAACTTGTGAGTGATCTACTGCTCTTGACACCTAGCCATGGTGCAAGATGGGCTGGTCACCCAGCAACCACCTACAATGACCAGTTATGCTATCACAAAGCATGCCACCCTAATGACCTTGATGTAGGACCATGATGGTTAGCATGACAGACTCATGAATGTCCTAGATAGCCCAACTGTATAAAATAAATAAAAAATAAATTTTGAGTTAACTGCTATATAAAGGTTGATCATAAAAACTAGTCAATAAAAATGTTAAATTTATAACGATTTTAGTAGAGACAATATTGTATAATTATGATAATAGTATATCTAAAAATAAAAATGATAAACTCTGTGTTACCAACTCTGAGTTTCACAAATATGGTATTCATTCATCAGGTTTTATAGCAAAATTGAATTTATTTGCAAATATCATATATTACTTAAAAGGTATTACTTGTTTGCAAATATCACATACTTTTTAAAAGATATTTTTTAATTTTTTGTAAAAGAAAAATATTAATATCTGATTTGATAAGCATTATTTTTGGGGTGGGTTGGAACAAAACACAATTTATTATTAGTAATCAGTATATTTAGATTGTATATTTTTCTATTAATTTTTGTGAAATATACAGTTGTGTGTGTGTATGTGCATATGTGTGTGTCCATTTTGAAAATCTAGAAATTAGTAAAACCTGAATAAATTCACTCTGTAATTCTGAGAACAAACATTAAAGTTTGAGAGCAAAGCATGCAAAATTTATTTCAACAAAGTAAACTCTATAGAAATAATATGTAAAAGGAATCCACATTAATAAAGTCAAATTCCAAATTATCTTTAAAGCATAATTTGAGAGTATGAATAATCAAAGTTAATCTTATCAATGTAAAGAGAGAAAATAATTTCCTAAACAATATTATTGTATATGAAATTAATATCTGATTTCAGAACCACAAACATGCACACATGATATAAAACACTATAAATTGGTTAAGAGCATTAAAATTGCAAATTTATTCATACAAGGATAGATTAGTAAGGCTGTAGCCTGATCTGAAGTTATTAGATGAATTTTAATCTGAAATTTACACTGATTTATATGATTAACTTAATTAAGTGCATTTACAAGGAATGATATTATGTTGGAGTATAAATATTTTTTGCATAAAATAAATTCTGGTTTAATAAGGACTTATTAAACCAAAAGAAATTAAATGGTTCCTTCTTGAGTGCATAAAATAGCATAAGATCAAATGAAAGTATCAAATTTACTATTATTATATCTTTCCTTAGATGAATAATCTAAAAAGCAGATCAATGAAAAAAAAAATTTATACAAAATGTACTTTTGCAAAATGAAAAAATAGTATCTGATTGCAGAACCACACGCATACACACATATATATGAGTGTGGTTCTGCAATCAGATATATATATATATATATATATATATATATATATATATATATATATATATATTTATATATATATCAATAATTCTCTCAAACATGTTTGATTAAATAATAAGGATAAGTTCTGTTTGCCTTTTCATTTAATTTTTCAAATTTTCGAATTAGGTGATTTGTGTTATTAGTAAATTTGCCAAAATTCATATTTATTTTTATTTTATATTACTTTCTTCCTGTTGCAACATTTGTTTTTCAAAGATTGTCCTGTGTATATTTATGCAACTGTTTTTTAATTTCACCATTCTCATGTTTGATGGAACCAATTTCAAGTCACTCAAAGTGATGTCATATAAACAGTAAAACTGAAATTGTTTATGCTTTTTAAAAAAAATAAAATAAAATAAAAAAAAGAACAACCACTTCAATATACAGTTCATAATAGAGAAAAACATTATTTAATGTTGGTGGCTGCATCTCTTTTATTACAACAGCCTCCAGAATTTGGAGTCTTTCTTTGCACTGTGTCCTATATAAAATTTTGGTGTTATCTACTAAAATTTGTCTTATGTTAATATACTATTTTGCTTAGTTGTATGTTCATCTATATGTGCACAAATTGTACTAAATTTTGACAAGTCAAGACAGTGTGGTGCATGTGAGTTCTAATGTAAGAATTTAATGTTGTTTGTTGATTGTTAGTGTTAGAGATACAATCTTCCAAAGGATATAAGAATTCATAAACAACATTATTTTTACATACGGTAGAGTTTTGAGGTGATGAATTATTTCTAAGAATTAGATTGGACATTTTGAATATATAATATAAAACACGGTCAATTGGTTATGACATATACCATATATATCTTTAACACTAAAGTAGCAAATTTATTCATACAAAGATAGATTAAGTTTGTAGCCAGACAAAGTTGTTAGATGATTTTTGATTTGAATGGTTATATTAATAAAAGAAATTAAATGGTTTCTTCTTTAGAGCCTAAGATTAAATAAAAGAATCAGATTTGTTACTATTATATCTTTCCTTACATGAATTAGTTAAAAATTAAATCAATGAAAAAGCTAGTTATTAATACTAAAAACTTTTGCATAATGTAAAAGAAATTATTTATTAACAATTATTTTGCATCATAAATATACAGAAAAAAGTAGCATTATAATTTTTATTTCAAAATAATTATCATTATTTTAAAGAAAGAGAAAATATAGAATTTAATGTAATTTATTTGTGCTCAATTGGCTGCACAGATTTTACATGTCATCTATATTATTTTTTGTATCTTATTTTGCAGTTGTGGAGAGTCATGATTGCCCATATCCTGAAAGGACTTGGCACATAAAATATAATTAAATATTAAATGGACATATGCATACATCAATATTTTTAATTTCAGTTTTTATATAAGAACTTTGCTGATATAATAAATTAGTATCTTTATTTTATTAGGAAGAAATAATTAAATGCAATTTAATATTTAATCTAGCTGACTAGATCAATATATTAAATTCTTTTTTGAAAACAGAAATTTTATGTCAATTCTTTAGATGATTACTCATCATTATTACATTTTGAATTTTCTACAGTAGCTGACCCAGAGATTGAACTGCCAGGGATCCAGCTATGTTTTAACCAATGCTTTTAACTAATGTACTTGATCATACAGAAACGTCATATTTTGGTTTGGTACATGAAACAGACAAGTGACAGAAAAATAATCAAAACAGACTGGAAAGTATTAACTGATATGAAATAGCCTCTATGGATGGAAAGTGGAATCAGAACAGTCAATATCTATGAATTGAATAAAGATTTCAGTTCAAGATCCCAGGAAGATTACTAAATATGACAACAGACACATGAAGAAAACCAGAGGATTTAATGGCCGAAATGTTGTGAGGAAGACAACAACCAAGATGGGAATAAAAATGGAAAGACATATAAGAAATGTTATACCTTATTCAAGTGAAACATTTTATTATTACTGCAGATGAAGGACATAAAGAGAAAACAAATAAATTAAAGGATATTTCATATTTTAAAACAAAGCCATAATATGAATGTAGCAGCACATCTTATATCAATGGATGATATGTTAGAATGTCTTAAGGTAATATCTTGAAATATAAACTTACCATCCTCTGAGAGTAGAGATTTAAAGTATTTATATCAAATTGTTTTTATTTGTCAGTTTTCATAGGGTACATCCTTGTGGCCTAAAGTTTAGTAGACTGGATTTGTAGATCATTAGAAGTGGTTTCAATCCTCACTGGATACTGAGCTTACAGCTATATCATGTTGAAAACACCAGTTCCTGTATGATCACTGAAGTTAAGCAATGTTGAGCCTGGTCAGTACCTAGACAGCGACCACTTTGGAATACCAGGTGCTGTAAGCTTGGATGTGTGAGTGGTGAAATGGATAATGGTTTGAAATTGTTAATCAGAGAGCTGAGTTCTAATTCTAGTTGTGTTCATTATATTTACTTATTCACAAATAACCTCGGGAAATGTATGAATCTACCTCGTCTCTCTCCAGCTATGGGTTAATTAGTAAGACTTGCATCATATAATCATTATTACTTCTCACACCACTAAAAAATTTGTACAATCTAAAAATATTTTCTGGCTTTAAATAACCTGCAAAGGTTGATAAGCCGTAGAAAATGAATGAATCAATTAATCACTGGGTATCCCCTACTTATGGCCTTGTGCCAAAAGTAAGCTGTGTTTAGTAAGTAGTAACTTGCTAGTTTTCACAGCATCTCCTCCCAATTTCATTGATTGTATGAATAAATGTTTTCAGCTTAAAAGATTCAAGGGAGCATTATGATAGAGTTATGTTGGGAAAAGTTACAAGGATGCGGGATGATTCATTAATAGATAACAACCTTTAGTTGACACAGTACGGGTTCCAAAATTAAAAACAAACTTCCTCCTGACTAGATTGTCCTTTATTGCATGTCAGTATAGAAGGCAGGAAAGACAATCATTGTAAATACCATAAATGTTCAGAGTTGACAATAGAGTGCAAAGATGGTTGGCTACTGACATATCACGGATGTCATCTACTTCAAATAAGTACTTAATTAAAAAGAAACTGAATTCTTGCTTCCCATTCTGTGTGAGTGTCTAGGAAATGATCTCAAAGAGATGAGAAAATACTTTTTTCTAAACAACTTCTGCCAGTGGAAGAAAGTAACAAAAAAAAAAAAAAAATCATTTAAGTGCAATAAAAATGAAACAAGCTTCTTCCTGACCTATCTTCTCAAGATTCTATTTATAGTTGAGTTCTTTTAATGAGAAAAAAATTTTTTTTCCAAGACATTTAAGGCTACTGAAAGACTTGCAAATTTTCACTTAGGGATTATTTAGTAATTTATATGTATAAACAAAACTGATTTTAAAATATTTTAGCAGGAGTACAAAAAAAAAAAAAAAAAAAAAAAATTACATTGCCACAAAATGGTAATATCAAAACACAATTAACAAAACTGATTTTATATATAAACAAAACTAAATGGCTTAAAATCTGGACCTGCCTGAGGCCCAAAAAATCACTAAAAATGACAACATATTCCAAATGATGAAATTCATAGTTCTACATACACTATATTGAGTCTACATATTAATTTCCAAAACAGTAGGGCATTTTGGAGCTGGAAAAGACCAAATTTTAGGAAAAACAGGGACAAAATTGACTTTTTGAATTGAAATCACTGAATACAAATACATTACATTCTATTGAGGCACGCTATCAGGCTGGTAGTCTACTGATATATCTTAAAGCAATTAAATATTATGTATTAAATCTTACACATGTCATAACTCCTTTTAAAACGCTCGAAAATGGAGGAATTTGTTCAAAATCTGCTAAAATTGATCTGAAATGCCAAAAGTTCAGATAATAACTGATATAATGTCTAATAATAGAACTTAATTCTATGAGAATGTTTAGCTGTGGTTAAAAAGTATAAAATGGTCCAAATTTTTAAACAAATACCAATATGAAGCACAAGCTTATCAACTCATTAACAGTATAATGATTTAAATAACTCATTGATAACATCATTGTTATGCAAAACAAATACTGGTGTTCTTTTTATTAAGTTCCATGATCCAATCATGTTGCACAGGAGAATTTGTATCTTTAGCGTCTTCTATTGATCTATTTTGGCTGGGTATCACCACAGTTTCTTCATCTTGTCATTTGGCATACATTCAAGGTAGTCGATCAGGTATTCATTTGTGCCAATTTGTTCTTGAGTCATACAGACACATCAATCTCGTCCATTGTCATTGTCCCAAATGGCCACGCATGGTTCATTCATAGCAATTTCGTTTTCTTCATTAGGTTGAGCAGATGCACCAACATCTTCTTAAGATTCATTCAATTCATTGAACATGGTCTCTACATCTGGAAATGTGGTATCAGTATCACAATCAATTTCATGTTTACTCGACAACAGGATCCCCAAGTTTACCTTCATTTGTGCAACTGTCATGTTGTTCACTTTTAAAAATCAGGGTATTCTCTGCAATCTTTTCTACTCATACTTTTTTAGAGAAGTATTTCATTCCTCAACATCTTTCTTTTCTGCTCATCTTTAACTGCTTTCATACCTTCTTCAATCTCTTCTACTGATATGAACGGGCCATTGTGAGCTTTGCATTTACATACAATAGCATTCTGACACTTATCCTGTCGAATAGACTTTTCTTTCCTTTTGGCAAACTTGTCCTTGGTGATTTCCTCTTGACTACTGAACCATTTTCTTCTTCATCCAACAGTTTTGCTATTTTCTTAGTTGCCTCTCAATGGTCATTACTGAGGCCTGGTATCCCTCATGCCTTTTGCAGTAAAGTTATGATTCGAACAAGATGCTGCCCAAATTGCTACCTTGTCCATATGTGAAAGATCTTTCTTGCAGATGAGGTTGTGTAAAGGGAGCTTTAACAAAACTTCAGGATCAATTTTAGTCAGATCAGACCATCATGGCTTTTCACCTTCAATGCTGAAACCGAACTCCCGGCCACACTTGCTGCAAATCAATTGCTGCTTGTTTGCAAAAATGGTCCAAGATATATCTCTCTAATTTTGATGTAGGTTGCTTCACATCAAATGTGCAATCAATTGTATACTTTTGCAAAGTGTCCATATTTGAACATCTCAAGCCATTATAAAGAGCAGGAAGAATAGTCAAGAGGGATTTTGGTGACTCCAACTCACACATGTTTAAAAATGGGTCTATTTTTGCTTAAAACATCAAACATATTTTCCTAATTTCTGTGTAAAGGTTTGTAGAAACAACATATAACCAATCATTTGAATCAAAATCAGCAAGTTTTGTGGCTCATTTTTAGTTTTGTGGAATACATTGTTATTTTTAGTGATTTTTTGGGCCATGGGCAGGTCTGGACACATTTCAGTCTGGCTCCATCCCAATTTTCAAAAAGTTGGCCCATTTCCTTCTATTTGGACACAAATGAGTGGAATAAAACACTTCCCTAATTTTTTTTTTTAAATTTTGGTCTATATAGCCCACTCCTACTTGAAATATACAAATTTGACACTTCAAATATACAATTCCTGGTAAAACTTATGGAATCACCACATTTAGAGAGTATTTACCCAGTTTTTTCACTTTATATTAAATAAAAATAAATCACAGATATAACATAAAACACTTTTTTAATAGCTGAACATTCGGGATTCATGAAATATATATAAAACAAACTAGATTAAATTATTTAAATTAAATGGTATATTTTTTTCCAAATCAGGTAAAAGAAAAAATATGGAATTACTCAAATGTTAAAAAAATAATAAAAAATTACGGCATCACTTTGTAATTTGCTTTTTTAGAACAAAAGCACCAGAAACCTAAATATGTAAATTTGTTAGTGATTAAAAGAGGGCTTATAGACCTTAATAATAAGTTGAACTTGGCTAATTGAAAGTAAACATGATTCCAATAAGAAAGCTATCAATTGCAACAATGGGAATACTTATGAAGCTTCTTCAAAAGGGAGATCCAATGCAGAGTATCACAAAAGATATTAGTTCTTCCCCATCTTAGGAATTATGATATGGGGTGGTTGCCTATCAAGAACAGATTAGAAAAGGTGGCAATCATTACCTCAATGAGCAGGTGTACTGTGAAATTTTGGACATTTCTCTCATTCCATGAATAGAGAATAATTCTGACTTTTTTTTTTCTCAATACCACAAAGAGTGTTCAAACTATTTTTCAAGATAGGCATATCAACTCAATGTTCTGGCTGGTGAACAGTCTGCAGTTTAATCCAGTTGTAAATTTATAGTGAAAATTCTAAAAGATGGTTCATGACTAATCCCCCTCCTGGAAAGCTAATTTGTCAATTGCTATTTGAGAAAGTTAGAAAAACCTTGATGAAGGAGTCTATGCCTCAAAGCCTGAAGAGGAGCAATGAAGTACTATTATTGATTATTGTTTTGTTAAGTATTTAATTTAATTGTTATATTTAAGTCTATTAAGTATTTATAAGTACTATTATGTGATTATTGTTTAATTTATAATTTTATAATTGTTTTCTACAATGAGTGATTCCATAATTTTCCTCTATTTGATCTGGAAAGAAATTATCTCATTTGTTCAAATAATGACATTTATTTGAAACACGTTTCATACAGGTATATATAGTTACATAATTCTGCTGTTAAACAAAAAATTGTTATATCCATGAAAGATTTTAGAAAAATAGTGTGGATGAACATCTTTTAAGTATGGCTATTTCATAACTTTGCTAGGGGTGTAAAAAAAAATACAATCAACAAGTGGCCAATAGAAATTTCTTATGCTAAAATGTTTTTTCTGCAATTCTAAAACAGTGACTAAAGATATTTTTATTGCAATGATAATTATTTATAACAGTTGAAATTTTCTGTATGGGAAAAATTAAACACCATAAAACATTTGTAAATAAAATAAAAATCCTTTAAAATTTCAACAAATGTAAAAATATATGCTGTATTTAAAAAACAAATATGAACAGAAAATATATATCATTTAATACTTTAAAAAAGAAAAAAAAAGAAGCTTTTTTTAAGACATCATGCCTAAAAAAACTGAAGTCATATATTTGAACAGTTGTTTCATATCAAACATTTTCCAAGATTCAAGATTGATGTTTATGCAAGAAATAACAAATGTGTTTAACTTAACATGATGAAAAAAACATCCTAAAATTTATAGACATGCATTATGTAAATAAAGAATTTTTGTCATGAAAGCAGAAAGTTCTGATAAAAACTTCAGTTGTCCCATTGGAGTATAAATACCCACAGTGAAGAATGTGGAATCAGATGACTAGTGCCACCCTTGCACTTCTACAGAAACAGAATCATCTGCATGGAT